ATATATATTTATTTATGGTTAAAGCTATCACTGAAAGTCCATAATGATCAGTAACAATGAAGAAACTGAAAAAACCATGCTTTCACTTATACTATACATTCCAGATTCCTCTCTGCTCAATTCTAGTCTCAACTCCACAGTATGAGAAGTACTTCTGCATGTTTCTCAAATACACTACAAGGCACAAGGCATTGCTTTGCCATCATTTGTATTCCAGTCTCAAGGCAAAGATGGATTTACCACAGTCATTTTTTTGAGACAACGTCTCACTATGTAAGTCTGAGTGACCTGGAATTTGTAATGTAGATCAGGCTAACCCTAACCCTAACCTCAGATACACAGACACAGGCTAACCCTAACCCTAACCTCAGATACACCTGCCTCTCTGCCTCCTGGGTGCTGAGATTAAAGGCGTGCATTACCATGCCTAACTACAAGGTCATTTTGATGGCTAAGAAACCAAAGGTCTTTGGATGATTTAAGAAACGCTATCTCATTTTCCATTTGGAGCAGAGTAATGACAGAGAGAGAACAAGAATGAAAACTCGAACCTCATCAACACAGGAGGCACCCCTCCCCCACTCATGGCTAAAGAAATGGAGCTGTTTTCAAACATCTCTAAGTACTCCTGTGCCTCTTTCAGTAAGATGCAACAAACGTGACATGTCTCTTTCTTAATGACATTCAGAAAAAGAAAACAGACTTGAAATTAGGAAGAGATTTTAACAACTAGGTCAAAATACATAGCGGAAAGATTTTATTCAGTCCATTACACCTCTTTTGATTTTGCTGTTTTTGTTTTGTTTTGTTTTCTCTTGTTTGAGATCTCTATATTTGTTGGATCTCTCTATTTAGTCCCAGCCATCCTGGAATTTGTTATGTAGACCAAGCTAGCCCAGAACTCACAGTGATCCTCCTGTCTCTGTCTGAAATTAAAGGCTTTTGCCACTATGCCCAGTAGATCTTGCTGCCTTTCAAGAGCTATCACCACATTCCTCAAAGTTGTTTTACAAATTAGGTCGAAGAATGCCCATAAAATGCACAGGACTGTGACCAGGCTCCTCCACAGCCTGCCCTGTCAGGGTGCAGTTTGAACAGTTGAGTTGATGCTCTGTTCCCCAGCCTCATTAGCTCTCTGTGGATACTCTCCTGAGCTGGCTTCTGGTCTCCAGAAAGAAAAACACAAGTTCAGGATAGGTCCACGGTCTTGCATTTCTTTCTTTTTTTAAAAAGTGTCATTATATTTGCTGCATATGTTTTTCTACTACAAACACCCCGGCCGGGAGCAACCTGGGGAAGAAGGGGTTCCCCTTATCGTACAGTTTACAGTCTAAGCCTGAGGGAAGGCAGGGCAGGGTCAAGAAGGAAGCTGGAGGTAGGAACAGCAGCAGAGTGTATGAAGAAATGCTGCTTGCTACTTGTCTTGCTCTCCATGGCTTACTCAGCCTGCTTTTTCTACCACCCCTACCACCTGCTCTGAGGTGGCACCAGCCTAGTGCTCTAGGTTTTCCCACATCAATCATTTATAAGGAAAATGTCCCCACAGAACAATCTGAGGGAGCATTGTGTCAATTAAGATTCTCCCTTCCAAAATGACTTTTGTTTGTGTCCAATTGACAGGAATTAACCAGTACAACTGATCCCTTGGCAACTTGATGTAAGCACTCATCACTGTTAAACTATGACCTTTTCCTTTCTTGTTTCTCTCTAAGATCTTATGTTAAAATCCATTATAAAACATAGTATAACTTTACAAGTCCCACTTTAAAAATTTTAGTCTCTCAAAGTGTCCATCTCTTTAAAGCTCCAAAGTATCTCAACTGTGGGCTCCTGTAAAATTAAAACATACTTTCTAGAGAGAGAAAACAGGGCACAGTAATAATCAGATCAGAGCAAAACCAAATTCCAGTAGTGTAGCTGAGTGTCCAAGGTCTTGGACAGTGTCTTCTGAGCCCCAGAGAACCTGGACGGCTATACCTCTGTGGCTCTGCCATCCACAGCACAGACAGCCTGTCTTACGGGCTCAGGTAGGCTCCGCTGCACGCCACTATCCTTGCTGGTCACCCCACCCTACCGCATCTGCAGTACGCAGGAGCATTCACTACGGCCGATGCTACACTCTCACTGAAGCCTCTGGCCTCTCTTCAGGGCTGTGACCCTGCCACATGGTGCCAGGCCTCAGTTCTCACCATGAAGTATGGGTTACTGATCACACATTAGAGACAGGCAATGCAGGTAAGTCAACAATTCAGATATCACGGGAGAGATGTACATATAAAATAATTTAGAATTAATATATTAATTTGTATATGTGAACCAAAAGCCTAACACATATTATTTACTAACTTCACTACAAATCTGTCATTTACTTCCTGCCTTAATTTCCTAAGATATAAATGTTGACTGGGCTAACCCTGAATTTGAATCCACCATCCTTTTTTCTCCTTTGTTCTTCTTACTCAGTGCATAGTGTTTTTGCTTTTTCTATTTACATTCTAAATGCCATATTTGTCTTAATTATTCCAAGACATATCCTTCAAACTCTACTGGATCAAGAAAAAGACTGAACAAGATCATATTTAATTTTTTTTACATGTCTGAGTATTTTGCTTGCATGTCTGTCTGTACACCATTTGTTTGCCTGGTACCCACAGAGGAAAGAAGAAGGTATTGGATCCCCTAAGAACTAAAGTTACAGATGGTTGTGAGGTGCCATGTGGGTGCTAGGAACTAAACCTGGGTCCTTTAGAAGAGCACCCATAGCTCCTCACCCATAGCCATCTCTCCAGCCCCAAATATCATACTTTCTAATAATCATCTAAGAAAATTCACAAGAAAGGTAAACCATCCCACATTCTTCATGAAGCAATTAGCACCTCTTTGTGAAATGCTGTGCTGATGGTCCCTGGCAACCATGCATCCCTCTTTGGTGTGTCTTCTGCTTCTGCTATAACTCTCAAATCTTATTGAGGCTTTAATACTGTTGTACTTGGTAGTTTTATGCCAACACAAGCTATAGTCATCTGAGAGGAGGAACTTCATCTGAGAAAATGTACCTATAAGATCAGGCTGTGGGCAAGCCTGCACAGCGTTTTATTAATTAGTGCTTGATGTAGGTGGTCCCAGTCCATTTTGGGTGGTTCCACCCCATGGGTTGTGGTCCTGAGTTCTCTAAGAAAGCAAGATGAGCAAACCATGAAGAGCAATCCAGTGAGCAGCAATCCTCCACATCAGACTCTGCCTTCAGGTCCTGCCCTGTTTGGATTCCTGGACTGGCTGCCTCCTATGATGAATAGTAACCTGCAAGAGTTGCTTTGGGTCATGATGCTTCATCACAGCAATCGAACTTATTCAGAAATTGATACCAGGAATGGGGTATCACTATGACAGACATGACCATGTTGTTTTTAGGTGGACAGTAGAGGAACTTTGGAACTATGGGCTGGAAAAGGCATTGAGTATTGAGAGCTCGATAAGCTGCTCTGTGGAGCTTGGAAGACAAGCAAGATAAGCATATGGTGAGAAATGCAGACAATGGAGGCCTGGCTTTTAAAGTTTCAGAGGAGAACAAAGATTCTACCAGGCCATTTGTGTTAAGCATCTGTGGTATCTGGTCATCTGGAGCCCAAGAATCAGTTGTAATTGACAATAGACCAGAACCACTAAAGCAAAACCTTTGCTTTGCTGGGACAATGGATGCTGGTCTGCTGGGGCTGAAGAGTCATCTGTGATTAAGAAGAGACTAGCAACTTTGAAGTACAATATTTCAGGAAATGTTTCCTCGGGGTCAGCACACAGAAGCTGTATTCTAGAGGCAGCCAAGGCTGTACCTCATGCTGGATAACTTGGTAATTCTGGGAGTAACCTGGGTAGTACTGGCTTTGAAGGCATGAAGGGGACATGGAGGGAAGCTGAGGCTAGTTACCATGTGACAGGGCAGGAGTCCCCTAAAGCCCAGGAGAGGCTGTTGCTGAAAGTGCAGCCCACTTGCAGCAGGAGACCCCAGAATTGTGGATGTTTTACAAATATTGAATTTTTAAAGTGTTTAAATTTATAAATACTGTAGGACTTTTTAGTTTGTAATATGCTTTATATTGTGATTTATACTAATATGAGATCTTGGGGACAATCTGAAAATGAAAGATTACTGTTAAATAGTGTGTGTTAAGTTGACAAGAGGACAATTGTGTTGGCTAATCTAATGTCAGCTTGACACAGGTAAAAGGAGGGAGCAACGACTAAGAAAATGGCTCTATAAGAGCAGGCTGAGGGCAAGCCTATAGGGCATTTTCTTAATTAGTGATTGATGGGGGAGGGCTTCAGCCCTCATGGATGGTGTCACTACTGGGTTGGCCCTGAGTTCTGGAAGAAAGCAGGCTGAGTAAGCCATGGAGAATAAGGCACCAAGCAGGACTGTTCCAAGACTTTTGCATCAGCTCCTGCCTTCAGGTTCCTGCCCTATTTGAGTTTCTAGCCTGACTGCTTCCTATGATGAACTGTGTTATAGTTGAGTAACCCAAATAAACCTTCTGCTTCACAGCTTGCTTTTAGTCATGGTTCTTGATCACACCAACAGTAACCCTAACTAAGACAACTGTCTTGATTTTTTTCTTTGTGACTATGGGTCTTGTTGACTCTACCACTGGACTAGAGCTCTTGCCATGTTTTGCTCTTGTGTTTCAGACAATGAAGCCATAATTGAGTCACTGAGCTTAGGTGATAACAAGGGTTCACCTAACTGAAACTTTTTTCCTTATGACAGTTTTTTGGATCATTAAAAAAAGCATCTTAACAATCACATAGCTCAGTTTGCTGGATAACACTAAAAATCAAGACTATTTATGTTTCCTTTTCTTCAGTTATAATATTGAGCAGATGTGAATTTTTCAAACACTAACATGAGAAACATGTGAAGCAAGTAAATCTTATCCATTGATGATAACTTCCGTTGGTCAGGCACAGTTAACAGGCAGAACTGCATGCCACACTTGGCACCGTACCTGTCCTGTGTACGCAAACTCCAGAGCCTGCTGTAAGCCCAGGCTGGTCACGCCACGAAGATTCACTTCATCGGCTCCACTCTCCACCATACAAAGACTGAACATTGCCTGGAATAAGGAAAGTGGAAAAGAAAAGACTGAATCATGGGGTCTAACAAGCAAGGGAGAAAGTTTCTCTAGTTTCCTAGAGAAACCAGGAAACAGATGTGTTCAGTTAATTCATGTAATTTTGGTTTCTGAAACACTTCCACAAAGCTTCATTTGCACAAGCCTCTGCAGCCTTCTCATAGCTTCACAGTACAGCAAACACGCATGTGCGTGTGAGCGCGCGCGCGCGCGCGCGCGCACACACACACACACACACACACACACGTGAATCTCTCAGCACACTCATCTAGTCAACAGAATTCAGGCTCACTGAACTCTTCTCTATCTGGGATGGAATGTTCAGGATGGCTTCACCTCACGGAACATTCTGCCCAATGGATGTGAAGAGTCAAGTCTTTTCTGATGACAAAATCTCTGTGTCTGCTCCTTTGTCCGCTGTACCCCCGTTAAGTGTTGTACCCACCCATTTAGTCACTTCAAAGCAATTCCAGTTATCAGACCAACTGGCATGTAATCACAGACCAGCCTCATGCGGGTTGTGACAGCTCTATCAAAAGCTTCACTCCATCACACTATTCAAGCACCTATATCATCTGACATCACAAAAAAATATATTTATTCGGTGCAATAAAATATATTGAGAGGAGCCATAGGCACATTATTTTTATTATATTGTTGTAATTTTTAATTTAGCATTAGGTACTATTGTTAAGCTCTTACTATACCTAATTTACAGATTAAACTTTTCATAGCTTGTTTATGTGAGAAAAATAAAAGACTATACAGAATTTAACACTATATATGACTTCAGGCATCTGCTTACAGTTTTTTAAATATGGTCCTCATTGATTAGGGAGGACTAATACAAATAAAACGAGATCTGCACCCCAAAGGGAAATCAGCATATTCATACCCACTACAACATTATTCATAAAAGCCAACGTATAGAAACAACTGAAAAAATGATGGACAAAGAAAATACATATGCAAAGGGAAACTACTCAGCCTTTGAATAGAAGAAATCTCATTTTACATAACCTAGAGAAATAAACCAAAAACAAACAACAAAGCTCTAATTCATAAATGAAACCCTTAATAGTCAAATCTTGGTGAAGAAGGCAGAATGGTGTTATCAAGGGCTGGGATGAGGAGAAAATGGGGAGATAGAAGTCAAAGAATATAAAATGTCACTTACTCAAAATGAAAGCATTCTCGGGAGCTGATACACAGCAATGATACTACGATATCTTGTATCACTAAGATTTACCAAAAATTTAAGTAGACTAACTCAAAGAGGAGAGAAGAGGGAGCAAGCATTTAACACCCCAGTCAAGAATGGGGCTAAAAACTGTATCCATTTTGGGGGAAGGAATGGAAGAACAGTTTACTGGATAAGAGAACAACATACTGCCTATGATCTTCACCTCTCCCTCAGCTCCTTCAAATACAACCCTCCAGACTTACCTCTGCCTTTGCAGGAGACAATCTGCTAAGGCCTTCCTTCCTCTTTCCCCCACATTCAGTGGCTCACACACATCTTCCCTCCTAACTTCCCTCTGCCTACTCATTGCTCTGTCCCAGCCCCCAACTCCAACAGGCTTTCTCTAAGAACACATGGGTCATTTTAGCCAGCAAAGCCGGTGAGCTAATTGAAGATCTTCAGCTCTCCCTTTACTCCTCTAGGTCAAACCCACCAGTCTCATCTCAACCTGTATAGCAGACAACCCTCTGTGATCTTCTCATTCTCTGTCTCCATTCTCAGGGGACAAGGCAGATCCTGGTGGGACACTACCCTGCTTTCTTCTTTCCTGTGAATTCAATCAGTACCATCAACTTAACAAATCCCCATTCCTAAGGGTCAGCTTCCAATACCTCGAAACATATTTTACCTGGACCTCCTACTGGACACACCTGTCAGGATCCCAGAAGAAGTTTCCTTCCACACAACACACAGCCACCACACTCTCCTGAGAACCAGGGAGAAATCAGAAACCAAGGAACAAAACAGTTACCCAACAAACACACAAACAGATGTCAATGCCTAGAATTACAATCTTCCCATACCCAGATGCCTAAACTCAAGCATAAAGACACAATCCATAACAGCCAGGAAAAAAATGTTTTTACTAGAGCCCTCCAAGCCTTACCACAGCAGGTGTTGAGTATTGCAACATACCTGAAGCACAAGACAAAGACTGTGAAACAGCTTGCATGAAAATAACAGAGGTTCTTAAAGAGTAAATGAGTAAATCTCTTGAAGAAATCTATGAAAACATGAACAAACACTGGAAGGAAACCAATAAAATCATTCAAGACCTGAAAATGGAAATAAAATCAATAAAGAAAATCCAAACTGAGGTAAATCTGGAAAGGAAAACTTTAGAAACTTGAACAGGAAATTCAGAGACAAACTCCATCACTATAGTACAGAAGATGGAAGAGACTATCAGGGATTGAAGACATAAGATAAATAAATATCTAAATCAAAGAAAACAGTAAACAAAAAAAAAACCTCCTAGCACAAACATCCAGAAAAATCTGGGACTCTATGAAAAAAGACCATATCTACGACCAATAGAAACAGAGGAAGGAGAAGAAACGTAAGGTCAAGGGCACACAAAATATTTTCAACAAAATAATAGAAGAATAATTTCCTAACCTAAAGAAGGACATGTCTATCAAGGTTCAAGAGTCATACAGACCAAATAAACTGGCCCAGAAAATAAAGGTCTCAGAATGCAATAACTGAAACACTAAATGTAAAGGACAATGAAAGAGCATTAAAGTCTGCAAGGAAAAAGACCAAGTAACGTATAAAGGTAGGCTGATTAGAGTAACTTCTGGCTTCTGCATGGAGACTCTAAAGCCAGAATGACCTACACAAGCATGCTGCAGACTCTGAGAGACCACAAACGCCCACTCAGACTACTACACCCAGCAAAATTTTCAATCACCATAGATGAAGAAAGCAAGACATTCTATGATAAAGCCAAACTTAAGCAATATCTACCTATAGATCGAGCCCTACAAAGGACACTAGGAGGAAAAATCTAACCTAAAGCGTTTGTCTAAACCCAAGGAAACTTTCACAAGGAATAAATAATCCCAAGAACAAATCAAAAGAAGGGAAATGCTCTTTCTCTCTTACACACACACACACACACACACACACACACCAATACCTCCACTGCCAACAACAAAAGAGGAATCAACAAGCACTGCTCACTGATAAATCTCAACATCTATGATCTCAATTCCCCGGTAAAAGGATACAGACAAACAAAATAGATGTGAAAACAGGATCCATCCTTCTTCTCCATCCAAGAAACACACCTAAACTTCAATAACAGACTTCACCTCAGGGTAAAAGAATGGAAAAGGGAAATCCAAGCAAATAGACCTAAGAAGCAAGCCTCTGTGTCCCTCTTAATATCTGACAAAATAGGCTTCAAGAAAAAACTAATTAGAAGAGATAGGGAAGGATACTCCATACTCATCAATGGAAAAATCTACCAAGAAGACATTTCAATTCTAAATATGTGTGTCTCAAGTACAAGGGAAACCAAGTTTGTAATAAAAAAAAATACAGCTTAAATCCCATAGTGACTATCACACACTAATACTGGGAGACTTCAATACCCCCACTCTCACCAATAGATAGTCATCCAAATGAAACCTGCGCAGAGAAATGCTTATGTTAGCTAATGTTATAGGCCTAACATATTTATAGAACATTTTACCCAAATACAAGAGAATATACCTTCTTCTCAGCATCTCATAGAACTGTCTCCAAAATTGACCATACACTGGGACTCAAAGCAAGTCTCAGCAGATATGAGAAAATTGAAATTACACCATGCATTCTTTCTGACACAGGGGTTAATGCTGGATAGCAGCAACAGCAGCAAAGAATCAACAGAATGTTTACAAACTCATGGACACCGGACAACACAAATAGGTCAAGAAAGAAACTGAAGACTTTCCAGAATTGAAAAAAAAAAAAATGAATACACAGCATACCAACACTTATGAGACACAATGAAGGTGGTTCTAAAAGGCAAGTTAATAGCACTAAGTGCCTACATTAAAAAAAAAAAAAAAGGAAAAGAGAAGGTTTTATACTAATAGCGGCACACTTGAAAGCTTTAGAACGAAAAGAAGAAATCACACCCAGAAGGTGAAGATGGCAAGAAACACAAATTCAGGGCTGACATCCATGAAACTGAAGCAAACAATCAAAACAATGAATCAATGAAACAAAGAGTTGGTTCTTTAAGAAAGTCAGAAATATTGACAAGTCCTTGTCAAAAGTAACTAAAAGACAGAGATAGGAGATACAAATTAACAAAAAATGTAATTAAAAGGAGCATAACAACAGATACTGAGGAAATCCAGAGAATCATAATGACACACTTTCAAAACTTGTACTCCACCAAATTGTAAAATCTAAAACAAACTGAAAATTTTCTATGTACACACTACTAACCAAAGTTAAATAACATGAGCTAAGCAACTTATCTTTCTTTTAAATTAACTTTTATTTGAAATTACTATTCCCCACATGTATTTTAGGATTCTATACTGTACAATAACCCCCACAACCAATGTCCCAATAGCAAAACTTCTAACAGCAAGTTACACAATTGTTCTAGGTAATCAATAAATGTTGTCCTTCAGTGATTAAGGGAATGCTTAACTTTCCATTAATTTAAAAATCACACTTTAAGTTTATAAGGTTTAACATAGAACTTCAAATAAAACATGTCTTAAAGAAATTACAAGATTTTAATTTCTAAAAGGTGACTTAATTTTTAGATTCAAACTTACATTCTTTCAAAAAAAAAGTCCCCTATTTCCTCCTACAGCATCAGACTTTCTACACTCAACTGCTGGACTGTTCATGCGACTCCAGACACACCTGACGTGACCGGTCTACTTAAAGTCTCATTTATCTTCCCTCAAAGAAGGTCACGAAACAATTCCTCATGACCACAGATTGC